TTATTATTCTTTATTATACACAAGAGATTATTTAAATAGAAAAAAAAACAAACAAACATAATAGTGCACAAAGGCAAGCTTATCTCTAAAAGAGATTTCTTCCAGCAAACCCAATATAAGAAAAAGTGACAGTTTATTAGTAGTAATTATTTTAGTTGTATAATTAATTATTGTATAGTATTTTTTTTATACAACCTAGAATGGCAAACAAGCTGACGGCCCACCTGATGGAAAGTGGTAACCGTCGCCTATAGACATGAGCAGTACCATGGACATAACAGAGTATACTGTTTCGCCCATGATACCCCCCATGCGTTGCCATTCCTGAGCACTCAGGTGTTATTCCTCCGTACCCGGTAAATTCACGCTATACTCGTATCCCACTCTTCAAACCGAAACACAGCCGTGCAAACACAACTGCTTTACGGTTGAAACACGAATGGGACAAAGCAATCGATTATATATTGGAACATCTTCGTACTTTAATAATTTAAAATGTTCATGATTATCTTAATTTATGTATATCATATAGCTCGTTAACTGTCCACTGCTGAACATAAGCCTTCCCTGTAGGAGAGTTTTAGCAGTAACTGCAACGTTTGACAAACGGTTTGGCAAACATAGTTAAGCTTTTAGTGACGTTTTAAAAGGGACTCTGTCACACATTCCTTGACCATTAAGTTCCCTTAGTCGCCTTTAATGACACCCACGGGAAAATAATGGATGCCGGGACTACACGGCGATATCGACTAAAGTTAATTGGAACGTCTTCATACTTTGATATAGCTTCAAAGCGTAATGCTAATTTAGACGTCTTCGTACTTTAAAAACTCCAAAGTATATTCGGTTGGGAGAGGCCTATGTTCAGCCGTGGACAGTTGACGGCTAATACAATAATAATGATATTCAGTTAGCATAATGACGTATATTACCATATAAAAAAAAACAATTTTAGAATTTCTCCTATTACGATAATAACAGAACAAACTCATACACACGCAAGCATATGAAAAACATTATTTTCCATTACTGTTTAACAATGTTTTTTCGCATTTAAGAGTTTCCTCTTGTCGGTGCAACTAATTCATGCATCTTCTTCCAGCCGACTCTATCCAGGCCATATCCTTGACCTCCTTATACGACACCTAGCGTTTCTTTTATCTGTCTCATGTATTTATTCCTCGATCTTCCTTTTCCTCTTTTGCCTACTATTTTTTCTTCTACTATATTCTTTAAAAAATCGTCGTGTTGTATAAGATGGCCTAGAATTTTGCCTCTTCTATTTTCTACAAAAACAAAGTAAGGTGGCAAAATACCTGGTTATCACTTTTGGCATTTTACCCCGTATTTTATCGTAATTTTACATCAAAGAGTAAATGCAACGCTAAAGGCGAGGCAAGCGGAATTAAGATGTTAAGAATAAAGATTACGGGATCTCGAACATTCGAAAATATCAGTTAACTTTAAGAACTTATTCTTTGGTGGCCCTTTACCGTTCACGCCCGAGGCGGTAAGCCCAGAAAACTGGTTACTTCGAGTTCGAGTTGTCAAAATCATGTAGCTGTTTGGAAGTTGTTGAGGCTTCTGAAAAAGTCTGAAATATGATATATCCTATGAATAATTTCACTTTATTTTATGTTAAAAGTTAGATAAATGTTTATAAGTATTTTTTTTGGGTTCAGCGTTCGTAAATTTCATGGGCATGAATATTCCTTAAATTTTTTGTATAAATATCCAAAAAATAACATTTTTATTGGTTATTTTTTGGATTATAAATATTTGATTAGAAGTATTTTGTTTAATGATAGCGGACCATTAGTATGTGTGCGACTGCCAACATTCAAAGATGGACTACTTTTATTTATACCAAAACTTCTAAAACTTTCCATATTAACTCCGACTACCATTACGTCTACCGCACGTTTCTCATTGCTTGTTTCAACTCTAAATGAGATATCTTCAAGTAAATTAATAGATAACTAATAACTGTTTTATCATTTATTAAATTAAAACGAAATAAATATGGAAATAGTTTATTCAAATCCGATCAAAATTGGCAAAGATATCTTCTTTTTTGACAATTTACAACTCTTATTGTTGTGTTTTTCTCTTGAGAAATCCGTTGAAATTGATAAAGTAACCTACTTTTGGATATTCCCCAGTCCTTCTTGGGAATTATGATTTCTGAGACGGGCTTTTATTTGGCCGTTGACTGTAATGGACTGACGAACAACGTTAAGTCCTGGGAAGGAAGAAGTTATAAGTTATGGAAACTAGTAGTCTCATTGTTAACAATAGATCCTGTTAGGTCGACCTCCATGCGTTCCCCCTAGAAACCATCTTGATTAATTCCTGCTGATTCATCAGGATGGGCTTGACTTTATCCTCGTCTATCATCACACACTGGAGCCCCACCAGCGTATACCGATAGCGCGGGATGAAATTACCATTTCATCTAAATCTCATACAACTTCTCACAGGTTCTTCAAAACCTACTGCAAGCACCAGAGTCTCACAAAATTGGTCTTACATATCTAATTGTACCTCAAGTTGTCACTTTATACTACCCTTTGTGAAGAGAAAATAAACCATTTGTTCATTCATTTCTTTATTTTTAATCAAAAACAACAATGAAGAATTTTGTTTGCAATAAAATTCTTCAACACATGCAACATAACAACTTAGGTTAACTTAACTTACTTAAGCTGAAGCCGTAAAGCGTATAAATCAGACATTGCTAAGTTTGTTTTAATTAGTCATGTTCGAGTAAATGACACTACCATTCTATGACTTGGTGCACCGTTAAAATGTCTTTGTAGTTGCAACTTAAATGCAACTTAGTTGAAATTAAACTGTCGTAACTTTACTTAAGTTTATTGTTAGATACGGTAAGTTGGAATATTCAGTATACTGTTAATACTATTTTAGATAGTTTTATATTATTCTGTCGTGAAAGAACAAAGAATTTGTTAATCCAGTGGTCCCCAAAGTAAGACTCGAAGCGCCTTAAGGTTTAATGAAGGCTAAACATCGTTGCTCGCTCCCGTTTTCTCTTCTTCGAAAAGTATTTAGTTTTAGTTTCATTCAATCGTTAATTAAAATATAGATGTTCCAATTTCAAGAACATACATTTACATATTCTTTATTGTACACAAAATATAACGTTAAGCACAATTCATTTTAAACATAGTGTACAAAGGCTTATCTCTAATAAGAGATTTCTTCCAGCAAACCTTTTCATATGTATGTATATTGTATATGTGAGGGATAGACAGCAACGTACCTCTTAAAACATCACCAAAGCCTAACTACGGTTTCCAACCTGTCATGCCAGATGTAGCAACTACTAACAAAACCCCTCTTTATGGGGGAAACCCATGTTCATCAGTAGACAGTTAATGGCTAATATGATGATGATGACGATGATGATGATGACATACATATAGCCAATGTAATTTTTAAGAGTAGGGGGAGGGGATTATTAGTAATGAGATTTAATTTCCGCATTAAAGCTTAAGTAACATGTCAAATGTAAGAAGTTGTAGGTGAACCTTATTAAATAAGTAAACAAATATTATATCTGTTAGAAAAAACAGTTTTATGAATACGTATCCATGAGGGATTGTTCAAGTCCAAATGTCAAAACGTCAGTTTTACCCACACCCCTTCAGATAACCAATACGAGTACATACGATAACGTTCGCCTTTCACTGAAGACGCAAAATAAATACCACTTATATACTGGGCCTTCCAATAATATTATTTTCCATAATCCCAGGATATTATCCCGTGGCCGTACAGGAAATTAAAAAGCCGATCGTCGATCGTGTGCGGCAAACTGTGAAAAAATTTTTCAAACGAAAAGAAAAACAAAGGAAATGAAATTGCCAACAGGGAGGTCTACAATTGACCTCAAAAAGGTTAGCGATACGACTGTGTTTTATGTATGTATATATGTTACACGATATCTTTGTCAGTTCCAAAAGGACTTTGATGATTCTGATTCTAAATGAAAGGGTTCGCTCCATACTAATTTGAAGGTAGAGTGAAATCAATTTGTTTTTTAAGCAAATCCTTTAATACTTTTGTTTTTTATAATATATGAAAAAAAAAAAATTATCCACATTTTTTGTTACTACTTGTATCCCGCGGCCTCACTCGCGTGAATCAAGACATAAAGTATCCTATATACTAATTTAAGATACAACATACTCTTGTACCAAATTTCATTCAAACCGATTTAGTAGTTTTTGCGTGAAAGACTATTAAATGGCCATCTACCCAACCATCTTTACAAATTTTCTCATTTACAAAATTAATGGGATTGTTATTTATTTCACCCCAAATTATTTATCCTTAGAGCAGTCCCTACGTATTATATGAATTAATAACTTAATCGCAACAAAATTAATATGAGACCATTTAGTATTATATACGCACATACATATATATCATTGTACCTAATATCACTTTAATCTATTTACCGCCATCTACCGCTGTAGATAGTAACGAATAAAACCATTTGCAGTTCAAGTGAAATCTAGTAAAGAAAGCACAGTCTGCTCGGTACTTTATTTGCGTAATTTATGTCGTATTAACTAGATGGCGTCACATGGATTTATATTCTATTTTAATTATACTAAGAACTTTATAATACATAGAATATTTACCGTATATTTTTACGCTATATTTGACAAGACTTGATTTTTTTATTATTTTTACGCTACAGCAAAGATATATCACAGATACTGCCTTAACACCACCCCATTAGGGATTACAGTCGTGAGCATAGTTAATTTATTATATTTGAAGATACATAAACACTGTAAGTTTCACATAATTCTATAATGTAATAAAAACTTTATGAAGCTATAAAATATAAACACTAGAAAAAAGTGCGAGTCGGATTTTTGTTTTTTTTTTATCTATAGTGCCTATAATTATTTTACCCATAAATATATGTATAAACATATCTTAATAAAGTCATTCTCTTGTTTCAGATCTCAACCGGACCTCGATCACACCTTAAACTGAAAAAATTCCAAAACCAATAGTCATTTATTATTCTAAAGTTCCTAAAATCATTTATAGTGATAAGATAGGATATAAAAATGTATAGTTCGAACGAATTTCTGCATAGCGCCGGCGTGAGTCGGCACATGCAAGCGATGGGCGAAACTCCCTCCCAAAAGACTAGTATGAAACGACGCTCATGCGAAGTCCCCTTAGGGGACATATCTTCGAATAACTTTAAAGTTTCCTTAGGAGATATATCTACTATAAATGATGGTCCGAATTATGACTGTAGATCCCTTAGATCCGTGAAATCGGAGGACACTAGGTCATTACGCTATAGACCCATCGACAGTAGAAGCGTTAAGAATTTTCGGTCATCTCTGGCTGATATTTCCACTTATTCGCTATCGAGGCCACCGAGTTATGATCAGCTGTCTAGAAGGTCTATAGTCGAGGGTCCGGAAGGTCAAGGGATCACGTCCAGCATCGAGGGGGTGCTCTGGTCAGATGAAGAGGAGAATGAATACTTCTATCATGAGAACATTACAACAGCTTGGAACCAAGGTGAGCTAGTTTTTTTATTTTTTTTTTATTCAACTTAGAATGGCAAACAAGCTGACGGCCCACCTGATGGAAAGTGGTAACCGTCGCCTATAGATATTAGCAGTACCATAGACATAACAGTATACTGTTTTACCCATAATACCCCCCATACGTTGCCATTCCTGAGGACTCAGGTGTTATTTCTCCGTACCCAGTAAATTCACGTTATATCCCACCCTTCAAACCGAAATACAGCTATACAAACACAACTGCTTCACGGTTGAAACACAAATGGGACAGAGGTACCCAAGCAATCGACTTTTGTACAAAGTCTCCCTCTGGAATTTTATATCTGAAGTTTTATATTTTATAATTTGAGAGGTGGCGCGAAAGAGAATTTATACTTTATTTTTTGTACTGGTACGACACATTAACTCCATAGCCACTTTATTATAAAATCTACCTGTGTAAGCTACCAATTTAACGCTAAAAATATCTAAAGACACAAGGAGTACAGTTTCTACATGGACCCTGAAGAGTAAAAATGTATGGTTATGTATTTTTTTATGGGTTAAAATGGTATGGTAACCCCGCCTGCGCTAACGGAATACGCTGGCGGAGCACCAGTGAAGGGTGATCGATGAGAATGAAAACAGATCACTTAGCCCATCATGATGAATCCATCAGGAATTAACCATGATAGTTTCCAGGGGGAACCGCGAGTAGGTCGACCTGATTGGCTATATTGCTAGCAATGGGATTCTCAGTCTCCATTACTAACAACGCCTTTCCCCCCTATATTTATGTATTAAAAATACTTCGAAAAAAATTATTATACAGAATTTTGGCAAATAGCTTAACTTTGAAAGTATAAATTTTAATTAATATTTATTCTAAAAAGTAACAAAGAGCTTGCAAGCAGCAAGCAAAGGGATTTAATTACAAAATAAAGCGCAGGCGCAGGTCGCTAATAACTACACTATAAATCAAGAATATCGGTCGTTCGGTAGAAAGTCGTACGAGTATAGGTTATTTCCAGTAGTCTCATTACTGAGGCCCCTCAATTAGTGTTCTCTCCTGTATATCTATCAAGATAGCCATCAGGGAGAGGCATTTAAATATTATTATTATTCTTATAACAACCGTTAACTATGCACTGTTGAACATAGGTCTCCCCCATAAAGGGGGGGTTTTGCCAGTAGTTGCCACACTTAGTAGACGGGTTGGCAACTGCAGGTAGGCTTTTGTAGTATTTTAAAAGGGACGCTGCTGCCCTCTATTATTAAGTTCCCTTAGTCGCCTCTTACGACACCAACTGAAAAGAATGGGGTGGCCTATTCTATGCTGGGACTAGATTTCGTCCGCATGACCAAGATGTTCGTTATCCAAGATTCAGTTTGAATTAAGAATATACTTTTGAAATTGACATAGATGGCACCACTTATTTGTCAAATTGTTCGCAATTTAATATAGACTGTATGTATTCACAACAATAAATTATACCCGCATATTAGCCCGCATGACAACTTTACATAATCCAATTTGAATTCTATCTATCTAATTCCAAATTGAATTCTAAGTAGATACATACTTTTTTAATTAATTAGTCTTATAATATATTTCGTTTCACGTAACGTTTACCAGAGGGAGACTGTTCAAAAATCGTTTGCTTGGGTACCTCTATCCCATTCATGTTTCAACCGTAAAGCAGTTGTGTTTGCATGGCTGTGTTTCAATTTGAAGGGCGGGATATGGCGTGGATTTACAGGGTACAGAGAAATAACACCTGAGTCCTCAGGAATGGCAACGCATAAGGGGTATCATGGGCGAAACAGTATACTCTGTTATGTCCATGTTACCACTTTCCATCAGGTGGGCCGTCAGCTTGTTTGCCATTCTAAATTGTATAAAAAAAAGGATGATCACTCGCCGTTTTATCGTAATACTACATAGAAATCTAACTGGCGCAAGTGACTCGCGCCATCTTCCCCACTTGACCGATAAATCAGGGCTATTACTCAGACATTTCGCATTAATCGAACGTTAATACTACACGTACCTCGTCTACCTTTCTCTACAGTTAACGTAGGTTATTTATCGAAGTGTTATGATAGTTATTTAGGTGACACAGTTCGTATTTTACAAGGTTTTACAAAGAATATTTTTGGATTTCATTATCAAAGTTCTTGTGTGGCAACTCCAAATAGACAAACGCAGTACCTATAGGACAATCCCCCAGATGATAGAACGATGACCGCAAATGCATTGCAGTAAGTCAGTCGATGCAGGTGGCTCAGAACCCCGTCGGAGGTGTGGTGAGTGCGAAAGCGAACCCATGTCTCCGACATATGGCACCTCGAGGGTATATCGTCTGGTTTTTGGTGGGTACACCCCCACTTTACAGGGGGATTCCCACAGTACCCATTCACCTCCCACAAGGTGTATGGGTCTGCATAAAGCATTTTCCAGACGTTAAAAAAAAAGGTGGCTCAGAACCGTTCCTTATGTCAGTCTATGTGGGAGTCCAATATTCAATAGCGGACAGACAGACAGACAGGCTGATATAATAATAGTGATGATAATTGTCGAGATTATTCAGACTAAATTGTAATTTCATTGTGACTTTAAATAAAGAGATTTATTTATTATTATTTAGTATCATGTTAATCTCTCTTCTAGTTTATATTCGTGTTTGTTTTATTTGTATTGTTTTAATACCAAATAGGATCAATTAACCAGTTTCATATTATTTTCGCTAATATGTATTATACTTAAAAACCAATCTTTAAATCTACATTTTAATGAATTCTAAATAATATTTAAGGGGCACCGTCTAGTTCCGGCATAGAATACGCCATCTCTTCCTATTCCGTGGGTGTCGTAAGAGCCGACTAAGGGAGGAAGAGGAATGGGCAGCAGCGTCCTTCTTGAATCTTCTCTAAAGCCTAACTGCGGTTGCCAATTTGCTTGGCAAGCGTGGCAACTACTGACAAAACCCAAGAAGAAGGCTTATTGACAGCCGTTGACAGTTAAAGGCCGATACGAAGATGATAATTCTGCACAATATCTAAATATTGTACAAAAATAGAACAATCACAATATAAATATTTATAATTATTGTTTTAATGAGTTGTGTATTATTGTTGACACAAATTTTAGAAATCTAAAAGCGTATACACTTTCATTATTTATTTATTTATTTCAAGTAAACAGTTACATAGACAGTATACTTAGTGCTGCGAAACTGCATTGCAGTTTGTCTGCAGCTTTGCGCTCGTTGTACATACAGCTTTTTAAACAATTGTAAACTTATATCCTAATCCTATATACTAAACTTATATCTTTATACATACATATACACAGATATGCATATATACACATACATATACATATAGACACACATGCATATACTAAGTGGATGTTACTGGTACTCATACCAGTAACATCCACTTTTTCCACAACATCCACTATCCAAATTAAATCTAATACTGTTCTATAAAAAAAAAATTAGACTTTTCTTTCAAAATATTTTATCGTGACATTATTTAATAATCTTATGTTTCTCGATTTTCAATTATTATTTTTTTAATTTTTTGGTACATGTCGACAGCCCTTGTATATGTAGATACATAAATGCAATTCATTACTGTAATCTCGGCCAACTTGTTGCCCAGTAATATCTTACAGTTTTTAAAGGCCAATCACAAGCCAGTTTCTTATCATGTCATCCATTTCGCATGTCGAACTAAAAATATCACTAGCTAATGTAAAAGCCTAACCATTATCTAGAGTGGGTAATTATAAGATTAAGTTAAATTTCAAGTTTTCAGCTTGTTCATTACGCAATCGATTGGCTTTAGGTTGAAATACTTGAGTTGGTTCCTTTACAATGTTTCGTCTCGAAGACTACAGAACGCCATTTGCTTTTTAACTAACACCAAGTGTATGTTTTGGATTTACGCGAATCAGTACATAAACTAACCTGTGATTTAAAATACGGGGTAATCTGTCTATGTACCGAATTTTATCCAACAAACGTTCATCCATCCTCATTTATAACAGAAGTAGGATGATAATATTGATCACTCTTCAGAATATCACTTATTGATTTAATATGCCTTCATTAATAATAGAAAATCAGTTAAAATCTTTTTACTGAACTATATGTTACAGGATACAGAGGAATAACATCTGAGTCCTCAAGAATGGCAACGCATGGGGGGTATCATGGGCGAAACAGTATACTCTATTATGTCCATGGTACTGCTTATGTCTATAGGCGACGGTTACCACTTTCCATCAGGTGGGCCGTCAGCTTGTTTGCCATTCTAAGTTGTATAAAAAAAAAAAAAATTTTGTGGAAGTCCGTATTACTTATTCGGTTGGTTATTCGATTAGACTTATAATGATTTAATTCCGTTACCATTATTATGCGTGCGACTATCGACATACATCGAAGATCAACTACTGTTCTTATTACAAGAAGTTCTATAACCTTCCGTATTAGCTATCAATCTCCGACTGCTGTATCCTCCACGCATGTTTTGCGACAGATAATTCAAACTAAACAAAGCATCTTCAAGCAAATTAATAGATCGCTTCGCGGAGTGAACTGCGAATTGAAAATTATTTAAAATTTTTGCTATTAGACCAAACCCCAATTATAGCTATGGCTCTTTTAAGTTTTTGAGCAATAGAAGTTTAACAATTCATTTCTTCGAGTAAATCTATTTTTATGCAACTTATAATTGCAAACAAGCTGAGGGCTCACTTGATGGAAAGTGGTAACTATCGTCTCTACCATAGACATAATAGAGTACACTGATGCCGTCTCGTTTAGTCAGCTCTGTGTCTAGAGTAAGATGAAAGATTGATTTGTATTAATTTGAATAGCAAACGTACTCTCATAACTGTTTGACAAACCTAAACTAATGCAGATACAGCGATCCAATAAAATATCATCTTTTCTGACCATTATGTGAATGTGAAAAAGACTCTATTTTCCGCGCTTAGCCTCTCAT